TTTTATGCCCCAGTAAACTAATATTTTGGGCAACTAGTTTTTAACCCCCCCCCCCCCCACACGTTGCAGTATAGGTTAAAAATGGAGAAAGTGGTGATATCTGGAAAAAGATTTGGTACTGAAAGAATTTCGAACCTACCCTCCCCCCCTCCTACGAAATAGGATTTTCGCGTTTGGTCATTGGTTATGTTTTCGCGTTTGGTATATGGTTATATCCCCGTCTTGTATTTGCTTGTCAGTTTTTTTTTAAAGGTCTTAAAAATAACCATTTATTCCCCCCCCTTTCAATTTGCTTCCGACGCCAATGTGTTGTATAGTATGCTTTCCGGGATGACGATAACATAACTCAGGTTCCGGGTTTTATCATAATTTTAGTTCCGGGTTTTATTATAATTTTAGTTCCGGCTTTTCTTTATTATTGAACTTTTAGTCATGAAAGGTGTAATTACCTACATTAAGTCAGGAAAGTACCCTCCTTCCACGTCTGAAAACGAGAAAAGACGAATAAGAAAACTGGCGAAGTCTTTCATTATCGAGGATGGCAAATTATATCGATACAAAAAATCTAAACTAGGGTGAGTACTTGTAATATTGGTATTTATGAGCAGATATAACGTGTGTCATTGTTTTATTTTACCAAAGAAAAGTTGTACATTTGTATTTTGGGATGCTTTAATTGAGTAATTTCGATTTCGTTTCCAGTATTTGTGTTTCCTATCATAACACTTTGAATAAAATATACCATAAACAGCTGCATGATTCCGATTCAATATTGATTAGGTATCAGCACGATGCCTCACACCTTATTGCTTCATGAACAGCAGACTGGAAGCGTTGTAGTGCATGTACCTCATTATCATAATTATTAAAATCAAATTTTATTCAATTTATTGAATTTAAAATATTATCAACACAAGCTTTAAAATATTATTTATATATGCAGGTTGATTTGCAGATAATTGTAATTTAAATTTAACAGAGATATAAGCAAGAAATTATTCATCAAGGATGAGAAAGAAAAGTTCAAAATTCTAAAAGAATATCACGACAATAACGAACATAGAGGAGTGGTAGCGGTTCTAAAACTTGTGGGCAGTCGTTACTACTGGCCGGAATGGACCGTGTTCGTCAGAAACTATGTATGTATTTGTTTTCTACATTGCAACTTATGTTGATTGTTGAATGCATGTTGTTGTTGTTTTTTTTAATATAAATAAATTAAACATTTTCTTTCCTGTCCACATTTGATTTTTAAAAATCATTGTCAGTAAAAGACCTTATTTTTAAGTATGCTACATATATTAGTGTTAATTTTATGAGTTGTACAGGATATTTTTTTCGTAATGCAAAACTTGAGTGAAATATGCCAAAAAAAAAAAATCCTGTATCACTTGTGAGTTGTGAAACAAATTCCATACTCAACTCGAGTTCTAGAAAAATGGTTAATTGAATTTCAGTGAAATAGAAAAGGCCTGCAATTCCATATCTTCCCATTTCTATTTGTTTTCTTCGTGATAAGTCTTTGAACTTTTGTTAATTAATTAAGTTGATTTCTTAATCATTTTAAAGAAATGTAAATTTCGCCAAGCGATAGCCCAGGAGCTGTTATGGAGGTCTAATATGCATGTAAATCTCGTGCGTTTTTCTTTTTAACGGATGCTAAGGAGGCCTAAAGTGCATGCAAATCGATATCGTGCAGCTGTCTTTGTGTTTGACGTCGGGGACTATTGAAATTGACGTGGAAAGCCTCATGCAATTTAATTCTATTAGTCTTTATTTTTTTATATTTAAATTTATTATTATTTTGATTCTCAACGAAATGGAAATATAAGGAATCACTGACTAATTAGTAGAGTATACAAGGACATCATGTATAACAGGTTTCGCCCTTGGTGCAAATTATCCCACGATTCCAACTATCGTTGATGCCCTGGTATACTCTTTTAGCCAGTGATTCCTTGAGTAGTCATAATGATTTTTATTTTTAAAAAATACATTATAGTGTCTATCATGCAAGCAGTGCGAGAAGAGGAGAAAGTCTTTACAAGGACATAGTGGTACACAAACAGTGGCAGGTGTGAACAGGTGTCCAGAGAACGCAAATACCCAAAACATCCAACAAGTTCCACAAATGTGTATAAAACAGGAGCCCGATATTGAAAATGGATGATGTGAAGGAATATTATTCTTCTGTTGTCCACATAAAATGATTGATCATATTAATACAGAAAATGTCTATATATGTAATGTGTTCCAATACATGCTGCGTATTTTAAAATACATCAATTTTTATAGGGGTTAATTTTCGTTGTTTTAAATAAAGAGATTTATGTCCACTAAAATGTTACTTTTCACATTTTTATTACTCCTCAAATCTGTGTCCACGAAATAAAATTCCTACGAACCTACTTTTTTTCTTCACGAAACCACGAAAATTTGACCCCAAGAAAATAGGTGAATTTACTGTATACGTAAAGTAGGTAATTAGTCAAATGTCTCCATGGGTATCCCGTTCCCCATTTTACGGTTTCAGATATGCATCGACCATTTTGTAGGCACGTGCATGATATCAGCCCAATCCGATTATTCTGTATGGAAAAATGACAAAAGAGTCCCACCCGTCATTTAATTAATAACTGCAATTTTAAAGCAGTGAAAATCTCCATCCTTGTTCAAATATCTTTTAGAATGGTTTACAGCCCCACCCCTGCACTCTGGGCTTCAACAGTTGATTAGATAAAGAGAGTTCTAGGTTAATGTAAATTAGAAAAAAGTTATTATCTAAAGGGACATATATTGTGTCCAAAAAAGTCGTTTTACGACCCCAAGTTCGAAAAAAAGAAATTTCAGTCTTCTAATCATTTAAAGATCAACTAAATGGTAACTACCAATCAAGATCTTAAAGATAATTTGGTCACTTCATGTTTTTGAAAGGAGTTCTGGGAACCAGGTTTTCCTGTGGAGAAGCGCTCTTTGACCCCGATTTGCCCCACAACTTGTAAATAAAAATTCCAAAACCAATTCCTAGAAAACATCATGCCCTTAACAGGAAAGGACAGGTCTTGCCAGATGGATTCACAAAGCCTGGGTTTGGTCATCCTTTCTGGAAGGTATTCGATCATGTGGGACCTACATACATGTGCGTTCATAACAACTTAGCTTACCAACGTAGCTAGAATCAAGGTTTGGTGTTATCTGCTGTTTTCTTCTTTTTTTTTAAATTAAGCGAACAATCGCGAAATATTCACACGCAATTACGTATGTTAAATGGTATGAATGTCTAACGGTATAAAACATTTGGTGGATTTCATTTGATACTCCAATTGCAAATTAAAATACAACTAATTCCTTCTTCATTACATCTTTCTTATTTGTGTACTATTCGGAGTTTCCTTGTAAACTTAATGACCTTATTATGATAGGACAGGGATTGCTAGATTTTCAGGTACCTTAAAATTTTAGTCGAAAATTTACAGTACCCGTTCTGCTTTCGATAAACCGTGTTGCCATTATGGCAGTTAAAACAATCGTAAGTTTTGGCTTTTTAAGTTTCATACAATTTGTACCTGTAAGATGATTTTGTGGTATAAAGCATTATGCATTTGAAAGGACTTGATAATATTTAGCAAGATGTCGGTAGATTTTTCTCAAGTAAACCAATCATCTCAAGTATAACCAATGACTTCATTAAATACATGTAACTTACAATAAAGAAGATTAAAAAATAAATCAGAATAAATCAATAAATATTATTTTCCTTTCCATATCTATGAATATACATTTTGGAGCTTAATACTTTACAAATATATTATTTGCACGTCCCTCTTTGAGGGGTATTTTATAGGGATGATGCCTTATGTCGAATCTAGTTTTGAGTCTTCAAGTTATACATTATCGAATAAATAATTTTTTTTGCACGTTGCAACACATATAAGTACATCTTTTAAAAATATTTTCGGTAAATTGTTCGGTTAAATGGTTGATTCTTGTCGGCTTTATATCATTATAAAGAAATACGGTTGACAGGATTTTTACTGTCTAACTTTGAAACTCGTAGAAGTAGCAATGCTTCAATGCCAAACTCTTGAGATAAACCCATACAATAATGAGAAAGTTCGTCTGACCTTGCGTATATGCATATAATGTTATCAGTAACTCCGAATTCATGTGACTTAATTTTTTTTTTTAATGAGGTTTGAAAGTCTGTTTATATTCACTTTGTATGAAGCTGGTCTCCTTAATGCTATTCGTGTCAGGGGAGCTTAAAATGTTGTATACCCCTATTTTGACCCCCTCAGCAGTTAGACTTTCAACGGAGCTCCAAAATACCTGTCAAGTGAAAGCCTTCTAGTACATGTATTTAAATCACCCGAGTCATTCAGGTGACCTATCCGCTTTTGTCCGACGTCGTCCGTTGTGTGTTAACATTTTATCAACAATTTTTCAAATTTTTCTCTTGATCTGCTGAACCAATTTCAACCAATTTGGACACGAAGCCATATGGTAACAAAATCCGTGAATTTCACCCCCCCTCCCACCCCTACCCCAAAAAAAGGTTCCGGTGGTGGGCTCTATTGATTACAAATGTATTGTGAACAAAATGAGATCATTGCTATGACAGAGCGAGAGCGAGAACGCTTCTTCCAAAATTGTGAATTTCTTTGCCCTTGGGTCTCTGGTACTAGAGCGGGGTTATATACGATCATGTAGTAAAATAATTTTCTTTAAAAAATTTTCTCTTCTCCTGGGTATTAAATACTCACTTAACCCTATGAAAATCTATGATTTGCTCTCCATAAAAAACGCATTAATTCTGTTAAAAATCCCTGACTTCTCCTTAGAATTGAGTTGAGCAGATAAAAACGTCCATACCCCGGTAGTTATGATGATCAAGGGTGCTTCTTAAAAATTTAAATTTGTTGTCCCAGATTTTAAAATGACCATACACTTGATAAATTGATAACTTTAAGATTTTTTTGATTTATGATTAGTTAATCCAGTTAAAAAAATAGAACTTTATTGAACCCTCAACTTAAATATACAGTAAATCGGCGGGCTCGTCGATAGGTGCATCAATAACAATTTGGAGAGGTCTTGAAAACTGTTTAGGGCGCACATTGTCGTGTTCAGAGTTTACGCTGTCATTAGATAATGTGCTGGGACTTCTGGTTGGACTCGGTACCGTTCTAAAACTGTTACTCGGAGAAACCTGATTTTTATGCACAGTCTCTGGGCGAGTGATTGCATTTCTCGCTGTTTCAGAGTTTGTTATTCCATTTCTCACAGAAACGTTGCTTGGGTTTGTCTCGTTTGATGTTACTCTTTTATTTGGTCGTCTGCCCCCGATGGTGGGTGCACGAATTGTGACGTCAATGCGTTCGTTTCTGTCCTCGTTGTTCTCAGTTCTGTCCACTCTGACTCTTTCGTTATAACTGACGGGGATTTGGTTGTGATTTGGTAATGTGGCTTCCTGTACTATCGCTTCGTAAGCTGGTGGAGGGGACATTGGTAGAGCCGTCGGGTTAGGGACCGATCCTGGGGGACCTTCGTCATACGCTGGGGGCCTTAAAGGACCGTCCTCGGGATTGGGTTCTACAATTGTAATAGGTGTAGAGTATATACGTATATATATATGTAATACCAAAACAGTGGCACAAAAGACACTGATATTCCTGACAAATAAATATGATATACTAGTAAGCAGAAGTCTGGATTGCTGCCGTCCAGCAATCTAACAAATATATATTTTTAAAAAAACACTGAAAACTGTAGTTCTAAGTGTATAAATTTTTATGTACTATTTCCTCATTTGGCCCATCCCCCCTTCCATTAAATTTTACCGTAGTATCTCCTGATCCGGACCGCTTCCTCTTCCTGTTCCTGTTGTTGCCGTTGGCGCCTGCGCTCACGGCGTCTCTCCTGTCGCGCAGACTCCGCTCTCCGGATTCTATCATCGTTTTTCTTTTTTTCACAATAACGTTTAAGACACAATCCGGCGCAAATCAAGGTTAAAAGAAATGCAGGTCCACCCGTGAAAGACAAGATTAGAATAAACGTCAGAGTTGTCATGCAACATAGTTCGTCCGGGTCGGTTTTTTCGTTTCCTGTGCTCGGAATGCAGCATCCTCCTATGTCACAGTATTTAGTTACTACGATTGATCCCTTGAATGTCGCAGTACACGTATCCCCGCCATTACAAACTAAAAATGATAAAAATATGGTATGAATATCTGATATAGTCAAAACTAACAACAAGCTTCATCAGACATCTATCTGTCAGTCCGAGGCGAAGAAAACTAATTTTGCGAATTGTTATTAGTGAAATCTCATGTTCTATTGAACAAAAGTTCTTTGTACCGTCATACACTATACACAAGTACACTACACTAGAACTCAGTATCGTCATACACAAATAGACTACACTAGGACTCAGTATCCTCATACACAAGTAGACTACACTACAACTCAGTATCCTCATACACAAGTAGACTACACTAGAAGTCAGTATCCTCATACACAAGTAGACTACACTAGAAGTCAGTATCGTCATACACAAGTAGACTACACTAGGTTTCAGTATCCTCTTACACAAGTAGACTACACTAGGTCTCAGTATCCTTATACAGAAGTAGACTACACTAGGACTCAGTATCCTCATACACAAGTAGACTACACTAGAAGTCAGTATCCTCATACACAAGTAGACTACACTAGGACTCAGTATCCTCATACACAAGTAGACTACACTAGGACTCAGTATCCTCATACACAAGTAGACTACACTACAAGTCAGTATCCTCATACACAAGTAGACTACGCTAGGACTCAGTATCCTCATACACAAGTAGACTACACTAGGACTCAGTATCCTCATACACAAGTAGACTACACTAGAAGTCAGTATCCTCATACACAAGTAGACTACGCTAGGACTCAGTATCCTCATACACAAGTAGACTACACTAGAAGTCAGTATTCTCATACACAAGTAGACTACACTAGAAGTCAGTATCCTCATACACAAGTAGACTACACTAGGACTCAGTATCCTCATACACAAGTAGACTACACTAGGACTCAGTATCGTCATACACAAGTAGACTACACTAGGACTCAGTATCCTCATACACAAATAGACTACACTAGTACTCAGTATCCTCATACACAAGTAGACTACACTAGGACTCAGTATCCTCATACACAAGTAGACTACACTAGGACTCAGTATCCTCATACACAAGTAGACTACACTAGGACTCAGTATCCTCATACACAAGTAGACTACACTAGAACTCAGTATCCTCATACACAAGTAGACTACACTAGGACTCAGTATCCTCATACACAAGTAGACTACACTAGGACTCAGTATCCTCATACACAAATAGACTACACTAGGACTCAGTATCCTCATACACAAGTAAACTACACTAGAACTCAGTATCCTGATACACAAGTAGACTACACTAGTACTCAGTATCCTCATACACAAGTAGGCTACACTAAAAATCAGTATGCTCATACACAAGTAGACTACACTAGAACTCAGTATCCTGATACACAAGTAGACTACACTAGTACTCAGTATCGTCATACACAAGTAGGCTACACTAAAAATCAGTATCCTCATACACAAGTAGACTACACTAGAACTCAGTATCCTGATACACAAGTAGACTACACTAGTACTCAGTATCCTCATACACAAGTAGGCTACACTAAAAATCAGTATCCTCATACACAAGTAGACTACACTAGAACTCAGTATCCTCATACACAAGTAGACTACACTAGTACTCAGTATCGTCATACACAAGTAGGCTACACTAAAATCAGTATCATCATACACAAATAGACTACACTAGGACTCAGTATCGTCATACACAAGTAGACTACACTAGGACTCAGTATCCTCATACACAAGTAGACTACACTAGGACTCAGTATCCTCATACACAAGTAGACTACACTAGGACTCAGTATCCTCATACACAAGTAGACTACACTAGTACTCAGTATCCTCATACACAAGTAGACTACACTAGGACTCAGTATCCTCATACACAAGTAGACTACACTAGGACTCAGTATCCTCATACACAAGTAGACTACACTAGGACTCAGTATCCTCATACACTAGTAGACTACAATACAACTCAGTATCCTCATAGAAAAGGAAACTACACCAAAACACTGTATCGTCATACAAAAGTTATTTACTGTAAATGGTAAAATAAATTCATTTTATTTCAAAAATTATATGGAATGGTTTTCAGAAGGTTTGCGATTGCCACATTGCACTACCCGTTCTCATTGGTTTTAAATAGCTATTAAAAGTTTTTAATGTTTATACAAAATGGTTTCAAAACATTGTTTCAAAATACTTTTTCTATCACTTTTTGATCTGAATGCAGTGATACATGGTACACAAATATACTAGACCAATACTTTTATAAGATTTGTAAGTGTATTTACATGTACAGTATCATTCATTTATACATATTGTTACTGATTACAGTAGATGCCGAAACCCCTGCAGAAAAGTTGTAAAATATTCTCGCTTAGAAATCTTAAGTAGAATGAAAAAAAAATTGTCTTAGTCGTAATCTTACCGAGAATGTGAAAATTTTGTCCTACTCTTAAGATATTTTGTTGAAATTGTGTTTTTCTGTAAGGAAAGAGATTTATACAGGGCAATCGTCCTCCTATCCCCTGATAAAAAAGCGCTGTAGAAAATATATATCAAAGCAAATCAAAGGATTATGGACATTTATAGTTCAAATCCTAGACACCATAAAATGATATTGATATATAAAGCTGTGAGGAAACTTTGGGCCGCCCTTTTTATTTATTCGAAAGATTGAATATTCCATATAAGTTTTGTACGGATTAGTTGCTGTTGATAGCCGTGTATGTTAACGTACAGGTATTTTGCAGGAAATAAATAACGCATTGGTGACACTTGAAATGTTTTTTATAGCCCCGAACCTTCCAATGTATCAAGGTTGTAATTTATATTCTAATCGCAGTGTACACAAACTTGGCATGTGAGAACTCTTACCCAACAATTTAAGATAAATGACATTGGAAAATATTATTTATATTGAAAAATTTGAAACACTAAATTTTATATTAAGTTTTATTGTTTTATTCTTTATTTTTTGTGTGTGAGAATTCGAATTTACTTTCTACGGAACCGAAATTGAGAGAGAGAGAGAGATTTAAAATATTTTAAAATATGACCATATATGCGGTGTATGGTCTTCTGATCAATGAGCTACGATTGAATAGATACACAAATATTCTGAACATCGAGTGTTTACTTTCAATATATCATAGTAGAATGCACAGGCACTCTTAAAAACAGAAGTTTTGTTTGACATCGTTTGTAAACGCACGAATTTTTCCCCATTTCAATGGAAAAAAAGAAGGGATATTTTAATTTCCTGAAATGTGTCTTTTGGAAGGTCAGTTTAAAATCGAAATATATGACCTTTAAATTTTATAGGATTTGAAGTTTATGACTTGTTAATGAGGAATTACTAGGCGGGAGAGATTCAGATCTCATTTATCTATAGATCTGTATCAAGTTAATTACCTGTCAAAAAAATCATCCCCACAAAGAATTTATGTACATTACCTGATACCAGAAATCCAACCCAAACTGCACTCTTGAACAAAATTGAAACGAAGAAAAAATTCATTTCCAAAAGAATTT